ATAAGCTCAGAGTTGATAGACTCGCTTTGATCCCATTGTCTGTGAACGTGCTTATTCCATTGCTTTTCAACCCTTCAAGAAAGTGGCTGACGAAGCTTCTGAGGACGTCTTGACTAGAGAAGCTTGGGAATACGTCGTAGATGTATTGACGTGTTGATGATACTGATGATGAGTTTTTCAGATACGAGACTACAAATCATCTTTGTATTTGGTTTTGTGATGAGAAGATTGCTCAAGCTAAAAGAAACTTAATCTTCTCCTTTCAGTTTATTATATTAGGGCATTCAAATATAGATCAATCTCTGCATGGATCGCTTATAAACAACTTGTCTTTGTCTGGCTCATTACAGAGAAACCGAGCTAGTGCAGAAAATCAGGTAAATTTCCCCTTGAAACCAAGTTATCACTTTCATCACAGGAGGTTCCATTGGTGGAGTTTGTGATTAGTAAATGGTAAGAATCTGCAAAGTTGTGATGGATTTTGTGATTCGTAGACTTTTTTCCTTGACTTTTTCTCATTAGGCTTTATATTGATCTTGGAGGAGTTTAAGAGTGATATATTATCTCTCAAAGTCCACGAAAAGCTAAAGCTAATGTGTCATTGCCTATTCAAAACCAAAAGTGTCTGTTTAGAGTTATGGGCTTTTGATATTTTCAAGCAGATCATATGCGTGTGACGCAGGATTTAAGCTTTTCTTCCGCATTTTGGAAGAAGCTGGCTTTTGCAGTGTATAACAAGTTAGGGTTTTGTCTTTCCATAAGCAAATGTCATGTCTGGTTTCTTTTTCAGGTTCGTCCTTTTCTTTCGACTTTCAGTTTTGGTACATTTTAGTTTCCTTTAATTTTTTTTTTGTAGGTAGCATTGACTTAGACATATAAGCCAATTAGGGTGAATTGTTTGATTAGGATAATTAAACCTACACATCATTAATGTTACCACCAATACTAACGTTAAACGCAATTCTAAACATGAAAACAAATAAACGCAAAACACGAATGTGAATTGAAATCAACACAAATGATAATGTCTAATGCTCAAGACATTTTTGACTTTTCAAATAATGTCTAGTGGATTGTGCTCATTTTTTCTGTGTTGTTTGACGACCATAGTAGTGTTAGAAACCGAAGTTGTAAGTAACTTCATTATATACATACTCTACTTCATTATATACGTACTCGGTTTGCTCCATTTCAAGATATATATATCTTGATCCTATTTCTTGAAGAGACAACCAAAGATTCAACATCATAGAAACGGTGCAACCAGGCAACAACCAAGACTTTGTACCAACGTTCATATATAATGGTTAATTTACCAATCATCAGAAAATAAACTTTCCTCTCCGTTTATTATATTACATGCCTGTACACCAAAATCTAACCCGATCGATGTACAAGGAATTCAACCCCATATAGGATTTTTATAACAACGGTTTCCAATTACACAAACATACGGGATATGCAAATGCTCAATATGTATTACCTCGACTCCTGTCTCGGATAAGTCTAAGATCTCCACACTTGCAGGGAAATGTGGTAATGTTTTAAGGTTTTTTCAGCCTGCCATTTCCAAAGAAACAAGACGTGAACATAACTTGATTAGTGAAGGCACACTATCCCAGTTTCCCCAAGAGACA